ACCAAGACGGAAATATTATCATACGACATACTTTCAATATTTCTGCATTTTTTTTATATATCTATAATAATGGCCGGCATACAGCAATGTTACAAATTATTCCTTCCTGGGCTGTGGAGATCCGGGTGGAATTGGTCTTCAACAACCCATGATTGTCGTATATTGGGATCTGGTCAGTCGCTGCGGTTGATACGGTTATCGATGCTCATGATGTTGATCATTATCTGGTCCAAGATTGTTTACAGACCTCGGTCAATTGCTGGAATTGAGTGCGGCGTTAAACAGCAAGCGGATCAATCAACCACCATACCTGTGTGAATCAATCCAACAACACAGAACAGAATAAGAGGCGACTTCATGAGGGGACCTTCCAGCAACCTGTGCTCTTTGTGAGTGTGAATGTGTTGGGCTTCAGGTATAGGTCATGTTTGCTTAGACTGATAACGGTACACTTTTCTCAATAGATGAACGACAATCTGATAATGATAGACTTTTCGCAATAGATGCATACGAATCCGATTATGGTTCGCTTCGCTAACTGGACAGATAGCATTTGTACTTTGATCTGGCAAACATTTAGATTTACTGGACAAAGGTCTCTGCTGTTAGGAAAGCTACTGTCAGCCTTCGCTGGTGCGTTATTATACGTTATTATAGTACTGACTGGTAATGTTTCCCGTTACAGTTTGTAATCGTTTTTGAAACCGATCTATGTTTCTTCCTTACTTTGTATAGGGATGGTATAATATACTGTCAAGCATTGTATCATCGGGGCTCTGATCAAAGCATTCTTCTAAACCATGTATCGTTCATCACACATAGAAGATGAATGTTCACCACTGCAGATGTATGACAAGGAATCTAAATTTCATAAGCATAACTGCACTGTCGAAAAGTACCTATACACGTAAAGACAATCCATACTTCTCCAACAATGGTCTCAGTGTTTGAAACATGATGTATGCACACTTATGTGTAGGTTTATCTTCAAATATGTCATTAGCTTTCCAGCCATAATCCAGACCTTCTCTCTCCTTCCATCCCGGTTTTCTTTCTCCTTCATATCGATGTGGGGCGGTGGGGTAGCCTAATGGTTAAAGCGTTGGCTCGTCACGCCGAAGACCCGGGTTCGAATCCCCACATGGGCACAATGTGTGAAGCCCATTTCTGGTGTCCCCCGCCGTGATGTTGCTGGAATATTGCTAAAAGCGGCGTAAAACCAAACTCAGTCAGTCAGTCATATCGATGTTCCTATTGCATAGCATGTTGTAACAACAAGCTGATAGGGTGCTTTGATAGAGTCTTTAGTTTGATTAGTTCTTCATAGGCCCATGGTATGTAGTATCCTTGGTCTCTGTTGATCAAAGGTTTGTGGCGGCGGATTTCTGCCAAAAGATAACCCGCATAGCTGAACTCGACCAGATCATCAGCCACGATGTTGTAGACATCTTCACAAATGTCCACACCGATGAAGCCCTGCAAATCCTCCGTCCGCGCATCTCCTGTCTGGATCAACATGTTGGCACAAACCTTTCCATAGATTCCATAATCAGCCTCTATAAATCTTGTATAACGTCTACCTACTTCTCCTGTGGAGACAACATTTTCGAACATTTCCACGGCCTCCCCACGGGATCTCCTGTCTCCCCCATTATCACAGAAACCTATATGACTCGAAGAGCAAGCCCTGGCCTCCTCCCCTATCCAACATATCTGCTGGTATAGGAAGGTGGGGAAAGACCACGATCGCACCTCACAACTACAGCACCTCAACACCCTCGAATTAAGTTCACTATGGAAACAGAGAACGACAACAAACCCTTCCAAGATGTCCTTGTATCCCGAAACCCATGTAAGAAGATCCAAACCATAGTCTACAGACAACCCACCCATTCTGACCAGTACATCCATTTCAACTCAAACCACCACCCTAAAACTAAGTCTGGCGTCATCTCAACCCTAACCAAACATCAAAAACATTTGCTCCAGCAGCCATGACCTAGAACACGAGCTTATCCACTTTCAGACCTACTCAGGACATGATTTGTTATTATAACTTGCTCGCGTAATACATTTGTCTCTTGGAAAGAATTAAGGAATTTGATTACAGGTGCCCATGGTTCTTACATGTAGCTTCACAATTTGGATCAAATCCAGAGCACTCATCTTCAATCGCCCTGAAGTAGTTTTGGACTACTGAACCCATACTGAATGTAAACATTGCAGCCTAATCAATTATTGTCATTTTTTCATATTTCAGTTCAGTCATTAGGATTGTAGCAGTTATTCTCACATTCAGATCATGCAACATCCGGAGTTAATACGGATAAAACAAGGTTGTATAGGTTTGAAGAGTTAGCCATAGTTCATGACCCACCAACATCCCATGTATAAATCAGACTCATGTGATCTTTCAAAACGACACAACCATAGGTAATGCGATAAAGTATGCTTCACTATACTGTAACTCTGTATGCTATTGTTAAAGAATTAAATCTATACCGGTGAATATATAATTACATGTCCTGTTAAGTATGATTCACATGCGCCTATAATCGGAATACAATTGCCTTAAAGCTCTAAACAGGTTTGGAACAAATTTTATATCACGCGTTACTGATCGTTAAAGCTATCGTAAAATATGTTTGTTCGGGAATCTCGGAAATAGTGTTTTGTAAAGTTTCAGATTAACACAAAACATAACAGTCTTGGATAGCAGTATCAACACCAGTAGCATTGTACATGTGGTACATGTTTTTCTGAGTAAGCGGAATAGGACCACGGGAACACATAAAAAGCATATAGTATTCCCAGAAATTATTGAGAAAGTTGTTTCGTATCTAATACATGTATAGCAGTGGGCCGTGGTTGTGGTGATGCGCAGGAACATTCTGGGTGTGATCACCACTGTGAGTGACAACGGAGAGTATACAATCGCCTGCCCTGCTAGTGTCCTCCAAGGCAAGTTCTCGAGGAACCAGTTCGATTTGTGCCCAGAGAAACGCTTAACTTTATCAGAAGTGAACACTGAAACTTCAGTATCCCTTCGTACTGCTGTTGGAGCCGAGTTTTTCTCACTAGGCCAGGGTTTCGTGTAAATGTGCTGGTAGCAAGAGATGTGGGACCAAGAAATGCAAATGCTTTAAGAACAATCCACTGTGCAACAGCCGGTGTCATTCAAGTCTCACTTGTCAAAACAAGTAATGTACATGATATGCAAAACATAAATTGTTCACTTCATATTTTTGTGTTTCTATTTTGAACTTAAATGATTGAGTTACTTGGTCAAATGACTGAGAATTTTAGTCTTTTGACCAAATGACTGATCGTTACAGTCATTTGACCAAATGACTGGTTTGACAGATTGACTGTAACATATATAAACTATAAAAGTTTTACTTGAATGAATATGTTGTGGTATTATTCTCTAACAGTCTAAGTGTCTTTCAGTACTTTGTGAGACCTGCTTGTCCTGCAATACACGAATGAATGCGACTAGGTGCACTACCGATCAAACTTTGTAGGAAATCGTCTGACAGCGTATCCCACCATTCGACCACTTCTTTCTTCATATCCTCAAGTTCTTTTTGGCTTATTCTGTCCTTCATTAGTCCCCACACATCCTCAATAGGGTTAAGATCTGGGCTGCAGCTGGGCCAATCTAAAACTTCAACATTTTCATCTGACAACCACTGTTTTGTGTAGTTAAGGGTCGTTATCATGCTGGAAAATCCATATATCTTCTTAATGTTCAGGCCGTTGGAAGGAGGTGATCAGTTAAGATGTCAACATATCGTTCCTTCGTCAAATATGCAGTGAAAATACACAACGGTGTCACTCCACGTGACGATAACCCACCCAGTTCGGAAAAAAGCCAGACAGAACTTTCATCAGAGAAGAAAACATTATCCCAATCTTGATTTTCGTGAGCCCTACACCAGTTTTAACGTCTTTCTGTTTGTGCATCTTTCATCAATGGTGGGGGGTTCCGTGCTTTTTCACCAGTTAAGTCTTTGTAATTCTTGTCTAAGGGTATCATTACATACTTGAAGACTTCGTCTATTAATAATCTCTTTTCTGATATTCTCAACGCTTTTCAGTTTTCACCTACTCACAATCTGACCAAGTCGCCTGCGATCCGTAGTTCTGAACTTCCTTGGCCTCCCTGCCCCTGTCTTGTGCTCAGTACCAACTCCTGACTGAATATTCTTCAAAGTTCTGTATACTGTAGACAGAGGAATGTCTTGTCTACCAGCTAACTCTTTCGCATTAGTCACACCCCTTTCAAAATCATCTTGAACCAGCTTTCTTTTCTCTTCTGCTGTCAAGTTTCCATGTAAACAAAGGCAGCTGTCTGTTACACCAGGGGAGATAACCCTTGATGTATTAAGGTTCATTCTTAAGGCTACAAGAGTTGCCTCCCATATTGAATACCTTACTACATATTGTAACACCTATTTCAAAATTCTATTATCAGTATTAGGAAACAAACACTTTCTTAATAGTTTCGAGGAATACTGTACATAATATAACACATGTTACATTTGACCACTTTCTAAATGGCACTGTGTATTATTATACATCTTTGTTATGAAGAATGCTTTAATTAGGGAGTCGGAGATTCTTGTATATACTCTCCCTATACAAATCTAAATATATGATATCCATACACCTTTAAGACTAGATCGGTTTCAAATACGATTACAAACTTTACAGAGATACATAACGGATGAGGTTACCAGTCAGTAATATAAGAACGTATAGCAACACACAACAAGCCAATGAAGATGACACGTCCTTTTCCTAATAGCAGAGACCATTGTCTAGTGAGGTTACATGTTCAAAATGATCTATATTATGGTCTATAATGTTTGCCAAGGTTATTTCACTCATATAACAACTTCCTGCGTGGGTTGCCGGATAACTTCCTGCGTGGGTTGCCAGATAACATATCATTGGCTCGATGTGCTATTAGGTGACACTGAAGTTATTGCGAAAGTTGTACCCTTATCAGCCTCGCCATGCAAACAAGTAAGGCCTATAACTGTCCAACACACCCACACTCACAAAGAGCACATGACGGTCCCATCATGAAGTCGCCTCTTATTCTGTTCTGTGTTGTTGGATTGATTCACATAGGTATGGTAGGACGGAATGCTTCGTTACACTCGTGTATGTATGTATGTGAGTGAGTGAGTGAGTGAGTGAGTGAGTGAGTGAGTGAGTGAGTGAGTGAGTGAGTGAGTGAGTGAGTGAGTGAGTGAGTGAGTGAGTGAGTGAGTGAGTGAGTGAGTGAGTGAGTGAGTGAGTGAGTGAGTGAGTGAGTGAGTGAGTGAGTTTCAACAATTCGAGTAATGATATACATGATTCCCATTTCAGCGCACAGTGTCTGTGTTTCTTGTAAGCCCGGCAGTTCCTCATGTGATGATCCATATTCTCCTTCTGGACCTGAATATGCAGCTTGCGGTTCTTTCCGTGAGTAGATGCTTTGTTTAATTTGGCTTTCATGTCACCTCTATAATTCTTCTCATAGAACAGATTAGATCGACACTGTGAGATTTCACTGTAGTTTCTGAGTTACCTGTAGGTTTGTCAGCGTGAAGCTGAATTTGGACTAGCTGAATTAAGGGAGCGTAAATTTCAACCAGATTATATTGTCTTAAATGTGCTGTATGTGTGCGATAACAAGAGGCCCGCTTTACAGAAACGAGTAACCTTATTTCACATGTCCGAAGCATTTCGATTTATAGATGTGGTTCGCCCTGCTGCAAAAACATAGCGCCGAAAAAACGTCAGCTTTCAGACAGTCGCATGATCACAGAAGCTTGGCCATATATAAGTCTTTTTATCATAATATCTGACGAGACAAATATATAGTGTGTGATTTTAGATGTTTATTGTGCAGTATTAGCACTAGACCATCTTGATGAATAGAACAGTAGGCCCGCCAAATTCGAGCAAAATGTTTGACGGAAAAATGTGAGCATGGTATTCCAGTGATCATCATTATTATAATTGTTATTGTAAACCAACATATGAATATACGCATACCACTCTCACCCTTTTTAACCACTGGTAAAATGTCCCACCTGTAACCCTCTCTGTTTAAAAAATAAAACCCCCACAATATTTCACGAGTTTCATTGTTTAGAGTCATTTTCAATTTGCTCAAGTTAATTGATGCTCATAACATGCTTTGGAAAAGTAATTTATCGTCACTTTGATTTCAGACAGGGACCTGTGCACCAAATACGGCGGCAGCTACCACATCGCCTGTGGTTCTTTTACAACCAGTTACACCTGTACGGTAACTTGCGGTGCCGGACCTATAACGCCTAGCCTGTTCCTCATGTCCACAGTCCTCGCTTTCGCAATCAAGATGGTGCGTTGATAAAAAGTGTTCCACTGACCGTTTTATGTTCTTGTTGATATATTTTTAATTTGTCATTGATTATTTTATCGCCATTTACTGAACAAGGACATGCATGCGTTATAGGGTTATTGTGTATAACTAACTGTTTAACGGTGGACCAAAGGCATTGTAACAGGAGTTACGTCCCTTAGTGGATCATATTACATATATCACCACGAATTGATAAAAGTGCGAACACTCGTGGTGATGTATTTGATATCAAAAGACATACGAGTGTGGGATTCTATTTATCATCCTATATCATGCTTAATTTGTCGTTCAAAAGAATTTAAAACGAAACATCACCTGTTACAAGTTCATTTGAAGACATGCGTATGAATACATCCAAGTGAACAAGACTGATGGAAGAGGGAACGAGTGACATCAAATTACATCATTAAAAACAAGCGCATAAAAGAGAAGTGCTATAACATGTATTGACTTCATTATAGTTACATCATTTCTTGGTGGCATTTTAAGTAAACCGTTATGTTGTTAGAGCAAATCATGAATAAAAATCACTCTTTCGACCTCAAAGAAAAACTCCCAAAGTCATCTTTGTTTAGAGCTAAGGGAGATGAAAGTAGTCCGAAAATATTGGACCAATCGGCAAATAGCTCAAAACTTACCAAAACGATATCTCCTAGAATATATCTCTTGATCTTCTACAAGCAATATATATCTTCTCTGGAAACCAGTATTGGATGTTATATGTATGTATCTGTGAAACAGAAAACGTAACGTGTATTGTTTTAAATATCTGCATTAGTAAACACTAGGGTGTTCATGATACAGGTACCTTGCGATAACATATGTATCTCGATACTGAGGTCACAATACGATACGTATCGCGATACTGAATTCTCGACATGTTGCGTGTCACGTTAATCAAAGTCATATCTTTTATCGTTAGAGACTACTAGAGAAAGGACAACTGACATCAGCTAAGTACCCATCATCAACACTCACTAATTGGGTGCGCAGTGGTCGAGCCATCTAAGGCGTCAGGTTAGTGATCCAGCGAGCTGAATCCGTGCCGGGATCGAGCCCGACTGTTACCGGGTGTGAACTCTTAACTTGGTGCACCTAAATGGCTGCAAGAGCCAGCGAATTGAGCGAATTATATGTGTATATATATATATATATATATATATATATATATATATAATTCGCTCTTGCAGCCATTTAGGTGAAAGATAAAAGTAAAACATGTTGGAGATTATCCGTGTCGTGTGATTATTTCAGAAACTTCTTCTTATATATGTAGTGCTGTACGCTCGGTATTCTCATCACTTTCTTGATATATATATAGCGAGATAGATATATAGATAGACAGAAAGATAGAGATAGACACACACACAATAATCATAACAGGGTGGTGGAGTAACCTAGTGGTTAAAGCGTTCCCCATATGGGTACAATGTGTAATATTGCTGGAATATCGCTAAAAGCGGCATAAAACTAAACTCACTCAATCTGACCAAATCAAACTAGGTTTACTACACAAACACATGTAAAGTCAAGTCAGCGATTCACCACAGAAAACATGAGAACATACTCCATTCAAAATAAGACGTCGCAACTGGCATAATTTGTGTCACTGACGTCCCAAATTTGGAAATGTTCTCCTCATGTCTACACGCGCAAGATAAAACAATAACCAACACACACACACACACACACACACACACACACACACACACACACACACACACACACACACACACACACACACACTGAAGCTTAAGTGACGAATGCACAATTTGCCGAACCACAAAATATTGTTTTATACCCTTACAAACTAAGGAGAGTTTGTATTTTACAAGTGTCTTGGGTGTAACTGTGTGTCTCTCTGTCAGTTGTAATGTCAGGATATTTGGGAAAAGGTACCGCAACACCCATATTTTCCATAGCAGCAATTTATTACTATAAACCATCGCAGCCCTGGTCATTGAATAAAACCAACCGTACATTACACTCCTTCTTCAAATCCTGAAGAACTGATCTCAACACTTGCCGAAATTATGTATTGTTTCACACGTGGAGAATATCCACACCCTTTTACCGAATAGAAGTGTGACTATAGAAATTGCGCAAGCTGTAACGTATCAGTAAAGTCTCCATGATAGTCAGCACAGCAAGGTGTTGATCCAGTGGCCCATATATTTCAAGATAACTTGTGTGTGACACACGAACCGTACAGATTCGTGTCATTGCACTCTGCACATGCTTAAGGCGTCTCTAAAAAAACATGTGACTGCTTTGTTTGTTCAAGGGGATTGTTCGGGTCAATACATTGTAGGGACGATGTATAAAACCACTGTGGTTATAGTAGACAATATGGCGATATCCGAAGGGAAGAAGGATACCAAACGACTCTCTACGGGAGCCACGTTAGAACTGATACCTGTATTATCTGGCTGCCGACCAGACAGGAATTGTCATACTGTGTGCAGCAAAAGTAAGTGTCTCTCCACTGGAAGAGGTCTGTAATATTAATTTAATTCGTTTCATGTGTTTCTCTTATTTTGGAAGACACAGGCCTACAGTACAATGAAAATGTAATGTTGAGTAATAGTCAACATTGCTTTGCGTCTATTTATTCCCATCATGTTTCTTAAAATAATAACTATTGTATAATTATTAAGATTGTATACACTTCTTTCGATACTGAGAATAGACAGCGCAATTATCGGAGCTCGTCTTCAACTGTGAACATAATTCTCGAATCAGTATATCGCCCAACTTCAACCTAAAGCTGATGAAGAACATATAAGTGATCACAGAGTAGGTCGATCGACATTACTATTCTATAAGATGAGTTGTTTTTTATCAGGTTTTTATTGACTAGTGAACTTTCACTAAAAATAGCTTATTAAATGAGAATTAGGACTATTTTACATTTAGTTCTTTTCAATTATCACCACTATCATAGTTCAATAAAAGTTGTTCTTTTATATATCGTATTTCCATTTGATACCTCATTTGTGACAGATACCTTTTACATATATCATATTTCCATTTGATACCTCATTGGTGACATATACCTTTTACATATATCATATTTCCATTTGATACCTCATTGGTGACAGCTACCTTTTACATATATCATATTTCCATTTGATACCTCATGGGTGACAGATACCTTTTACATATATCATATTTCCATTTGATACCTCATGGGTGACAGATACCTTTTACATATATCATATTTCCATTTGATACCTCATGGGTGACAGATACCTTTTACATATATCATATTTCCATTTGATACCTCATGGGTGACAGATACCTTTTACATATATCATATCCATCATATGATTTGCTGCAATTACCTAAACACCAAGAAATCTACTACAATGAAAATGAAACTCCTTTGCGAATATACCCCAACGGTACTTTGATATATCTCTTTCTGAAGAGGACATAAGCTCGGGCTCTAAATTAGACGTCGTGCTCTACAGGTAACCTAGCTGTTCACATAACACATTGCATATTTATATCCTACTTCTGGGCTATGTAGATGATCGATTCGTCCAGTGACATTGTAAACGTAGGCTACAAGCATGCACAGACAAACATACCTTCACATCCCCTAAAATCTGTAAAGGTATCATGTATTGTGGTTTGGATGTTACAGTCGACACGGGTCGGTGAGGTAACCAAGCAGCCGTTTTTACAACCACAGCCGATAAAGAGTCAACTTTAACAAAGGTGTTTCACTACAGACAAAATGAAAGCAGCTCTGCTGCTTGTCCTCTCGGCAATACTGTGTCATACAGGTAGGTGAACATGATGATGTCGTCTTTATATGCAGCCAGAGGATGTATATACAGCTTAGGAATAAGACCCGTAGAGTCTGTGCCATAACATGGCATCCTGAGCCCGACAGCTGGTCAGCAACAGTGTAATGGTGTTTTCAAATACATCAGTGATGAAGGAAGGAAAATATGAATGAATCAATCAATGAATCAATAGGGGCGTGGTGGACGAGCTGTCAGAAGCGCCAGGCTAGAGGTCTAACGAGCTTATGGTGAAGGGATCGAGCCCACCTGTGACCGGGTGTAAAAACCTTGGAGTCAACTTTGTGTGCAAACTCTTTCAGTGTTGTCACAACCCCTAGTGTACAGTACACAGCCCTGTGCACTTAAAAGAAACCACGAATCCTTCGGTAAATGACCAGATGGTGGCCACATGGATACGTGCAAACAATTCATCTAAGTTATCTTTAATCTTTAATTCTATTGTATATAATCTTCATGATGAAGGTATTCAAAGCTATAGCTGGAATTCATGTTAAGAGAATATTTTCAATAACATCGGTTTAAGTTATGTATGGCCTTCACAGTCCCCTTTTTTATCTTCCTGAATAAAAAATACAGCTCATTCAATTTTAAATGCCAACGCTATTCAAATCTGGAGCTCAGAGGTGGAAAATTTAAAAAAGTCAAATATATTATCCTTTGAAATCTCAATTTGAATTTGAAAATACTCTAACGTCCCTACCCTTTAACAAATTTACCCCTTACGCCATTTTCGTACTTCATGCCACAAATTACCAATTGAAAAAGGAAGATGGAATAGGATACCAACAGCTGAAAGAAAATGTAAATCATGTTTTTTGAATGATGTGGGTGATGAGTTTCATTATATTCTTGCAAAGAAAACCTGCAATGGTCATATGCATAAATTTTACACATCAACAACTCAAATATCAGAATGATTCGCTTTTCAGTGAAGAGCTCTTGCACAGCGTGCAGTTATAATACTGAAGAGGCTGACTGCACGGACCCATTTACTCCCTCGGGGCCTGTAACGGGCATTTGTTACACAGTCAGTAAGTGGAACCCCTCCAAAATACTTAATTGCTCTATTCTTGACCAGAACGGTATGCTGTAGACTGACTACACAAGGCATTCAAGATATTCAAGTTATAAAGCAAGTTTTGCGGGCCGGTGGGGTAGGTCGTCATGCTGAAGGCCCGGGTTCACCCTCCATATAGGTACAACGTGTGAAGAAACTTGGCTGGAGAGACACCTGAAATTTGTTTGTCTTAAACCTAACGCTGTTGTGTTGTCCTATTTACGGCAACGGACATCTAACGGACAAAACATAATTGATACACATGTCATGTTCCTTTGTTTTCAGACGAGGAACTTTGCTCGAAGTATGGCGACTACGCTATCTACTGCCAGACGGGCGCACTCAATATCAGCTGTAAGAAATATGGTCACTGTTCCGATGGTAAGAATCTGACTTCATCATAACCATGTTTAATAATCACCATTTAATAGTGAAGGTACCGACGGTATTTTCCTGCGCTTAAGAACATGCAAACTTAAGCCCAAGTGCTAACATTGGGTATGTTTTCCGTTTTTATGCCTATGGGCCGAAATTAAGATTATATATTGTATTGTTGGGAGAAGGTAAAAGCACATGGCGGACATAGGTATTGACAACGATCACGGCGCAGCAGGGGCTTCAATGGGTACAGAGCTCACTGGACTCCAGAGAAGGTCACAGCTATTAGTATGATGACGGCTATGACATTCGATAACGTTAATGTGTCGAGTTTGACAATTTTGTAATGCCGATAACTATGGTCGTATGACGTTAACAAGTTTCAAGTTATCTTTCAAGATTTTCGGATACAGTCCTCAAGAAATCACTTAAGTATCAACAACCTTAAAGCTGAGTGTCTTTAAGGTCATTAGTTTGCTGATGTTTTCTGGTCAATCGGCTGATAGTCGATGGATGACAACCAGCATCTCTTGCAATAACCATCAATTACATGCTAACCTTCCGCATATATTTATATTCATTTATTCTTTATTGATTGCTTAACACCACACTGAGCAATATTCCAGCTATATGGCAGCGGTCTGGACCAGACAGTCCATGACTGACATAATGAGCAATTGGGAAACGATGACGTGTAGCACCCAAATCAGCACCACTCGATCCCGTTAGTGGCCTCTTGAGACTGGATTGCTGAAGTTATCAAAACAGTTTACTGAAATGTGATAAATGCTTAATGTCGGGTACACGTTGTGCTCGTTTCCATTGATCATAGCACGAGCATGTCTAAAATTAATGTATGGTATGTTCGAAGGGTCAGTATAATCACACAAACAATCGTAATTATGATTTAAATATAAATAGACATATGGGGGTTAAAATAATCATTTCAATCTGTATATCTCTTGAAGCTTGTTCCCCTTTTTAGCTTCTGAGTTATATATAAAAGGTGTTATGTGTACCACCTTGTTCTGTACATGTATTTTTGATGAAAGCTGGAACCAACTCACTTGCATGTCTTTCAAGACATTTGGAAAATCTTTTACAGATCATCCTTATGTATGCGTATGCCCCATACCAGGTCAGGTTGTAGCCCTGTTCATTGATTGTCACACTGGTGAATGAAACCAAGCGCAAACAGAAATGATTGCACTCCTTTTTTCAAGTCTCAAAGAAATGACCACAAAGGTTGCCGAAAATTGTACATTGATTTAAGCGTATGGGATTCTATGCCCTTTAACCGAACAAAAGTGACAGTAAACATGAGCCATCTTTAAACACAGTTGGTCATACTATATCATCTGATTATCTGATTATCATTTCACAACATAACATTCTTTCTACATGATATCTTATTTACCCGTACTGATTACAGCACCTGATGAATGAATGAATGAATGAACAAACGAATGAACGGACGGACGGGCGGACGGACAACCAAGCAAAGAAATTTATAAATACAGAAAGAAGCTAAGTAGTCGTTGTGATTATTTACTAGCTATTACATACTGAAGCATGTGCCAACGGTGTTCTGAAGCAGTGGTAAAATCCTTGACAACACTGAAAAGATTCGAGTGTGCTGTGAAACATGCAGTTGCCATATTTTTTTTAATTCAAAGCTTTACATTTCAACAATTCAAAAAACAGAATGATTCCCTTTCCAGTGAACAGCATCTCCTGCAACGCGTGCAGTTACGGTACCTCAGAGGCTGACTGCACGGACCCATTTACTCCCTCGGAGCCTGAATCGGAAATTTGTGACACACTCAGTGAGTAGTACCAAGTCTTGGGGTGGGGGTTGGGGAGGTAGGGGTCGGGCGGGGATGGGTTTTTGTTAAGATGTAGCCTTGTAGTTAAAATGTCAGGCCTTCACACCGAAAACCCGGGTTCGACCTCGTCTCACTGGTACAATATGTAAAGTCTTTTGTTCATACCCCGTCAGTGATATTACTGGAAGTTCCTAAAACCATACTCACTCACTCAGCAAACCTTGGTTAAAGAGACACCTGAAATGTTTGGCATAAGCCTATTCTCGACATGTTGCCCTGTGTATGACAACTGACATCTAACAGACAAAACATAATTGATCGACATGTTGTGTCCCTTTGTTTTCAGACCAGGACCTTTGCTCGAAGTACGGCGACTATGCAATCTACTGTCAGAACGGTGGAATCCAAACGAGTTGCACGAAAAGGGGCGAATGTTCCAATGGTACGAATCCGACCGTTTTATAACCATGTGCATAAATCACTATTTAAATATAGTAAATATATCCTGCACTTCGCATCATTTAATATCCGAAATGATGCCTAACTTTCCAGGAGTGAAAACGTTTGAAAACTTACCATGTTACAGATGCTTACCCGTCTGAGAGAGGTTTTACATTTCAAACCCTTGTAAACACGGACATATCAGTGTCTGGTACAGTTACATTATAATATAATCTAAACCACTGTATCTCCTAGCTGTAAGGAAATATATAGGATGTCTCCACTAGTTGCATGAGTGCCTTAGACACACGCATGACCTCTCTACCAGGTGTACTGATACATCACTGCGGACGATTGTAACCTCGATTTAGGCAACCAACGCCAGGCATGTCATGAATATTACCATATTCATTTTGTCAAGGGTCCAACTTTATGATTTTGATGATTTGCACGCTGACGATACCCTCCAATTACCGATAACTGATTTTTAACTATTTCCTAGTACTATATTCGCAACTATGTATCTGCACGAGATACCATTTTTAGGTTCAGGAAGATAAGTGAAAGTAGGTGATATGTTGTTACTAGTAATTCAGATAAGCAGAAGAAAACCACCAAATAATACATTCATGTCTCGAAGCCCTTTTTACGTGGAACAATTGGCTTAAAGGCCTGAACCACTTTTCCCAACAAGCAGATTATCAAACAGCTCGTAAAGACTGGTCAGCAACGTTGTAATGGTGTTTAATGAATGAATGAATGCATGAAAGAATGAATAGATGGATGGATGGATGGATTTTCATATTCTGATCGAGATGTAACAGTTTTGACAACGTTGTCAGACCTGTTTTACACTCCAACAAACTTTACACTTCAACAAGTCAAATGTCTGAATGATTCCCATTTCAGTGAAGAGCTCCTGCACAGCATGCAAGTATGGTACTGCAAAGGCTGACTGCTCGTACCCATTTACTCCCTCGGGGCCTGAAACGGAAATTTGTGACACACTCAGTGAGTAGTTCCAAGTCATAACATTATATACGTAATTAGTTTAAAATTCTTTATACTTGCCTGGTTTTGTTTTAATTTTTCCGATATCTTGTTTGTAATAACAGTTTTGTGTGATTCATATTTTAAACAAAGCCACACATGCCCAAATTTTAGTTTTGAATATCATGGTCCGAGTGATATATCTTATGTAATAGACTGGTGGCATAGTAGAAAATGTTCATGATCTTCAAGTACAGAAGCAAGACTTTTGGCGTCGTGGTTAAAGTGTTCGCTCGACTCCCCAAATGGGTAATAAGTGTGTATCCTAGTTCCGGGGTCCCAAGCCGTCATGTTCATAGACTGTTAATAGACTATCCAATTTACGGCAATTGGCATCTAACAGACAAAATTGTCACGCTGTGTACCTTTGATTTCAGACGAGGACCTTTGCACGAAGTACGGCGACTATGCTATCTACTGTCATACTGGTGGACTCAGTACCAGCTGCAAGAAAAGCGGTCAATGCGTCAATGAGGCCAGGTCATTGACCCCTAGCCTCGTCCTGATATCTGTCATCCTCACTTTCATAATCAAGATGGCGTATTGATTCCACTGAGGACATGCTGTCGTTGTCTGTGTGTAATGGGTCTGTTAAAATTCATCACAAATGTTTACGTAATTTGATTTTTTTTTATTGCGTTGGCAATCCATACTTAACGATTCGGAAGCTTTAAGCCCTTACATTAAACTCGACATTTTAATGATTTTAATTTCATTGTGTTTGGTTAATATTGTGTACGTTGTGGAACATGTTTTGGACATAACATGGAATGTACCACTTGTAATAAAATGTATTAAAAGCTGTTCACTGTTCTTTTGATAAAGGGTCAAATGATAAATAGCACGTGTAAAGAAGAGTTTCTCAGAAATAATAGAACTAAGAGTGTCATGAATCATAATGTTGAATGTGTTGACAAACGTGACACATCGTGGCATACAGACAAAAAGTTCAAACAGCACTAGCATATATTAGTTGTATAGACCAACCCCACAAAATGAATATGACAAACATGAAGCACTCGGTCATTCAGTATCTTGTGTACCCTCCTCGCGCGTCCAAGACACAGGTGCACCTTGTTCTCATGCTCCTTATCAAGTTCATAAAGAAAGCTTGCGGAATCAAATTCCATTCCTCTACTAGAGCTCTGCAGAGTCCTGGGAGATCCACTGGTGCTGGGTGACGTGTGTACACACGTCGACCGAGTTCATCCCAGGCATGCTCAATTGGGTTGAGGTCTGGCGAGCATCCTGGCCACTCCATCCGCTCCACACCCTGCTGCCTAAGGAATTCCGTGACAATCCTCGCCCTATGAGGATCGACCATAAAAGCCATGCATAGCTTGCAGGAATGGTACTGCTATAGGAGCCAGAATCTCATCCCGATAACGCAGTCCGGTAAGATTACCGTCGACCACGTGCAGTGGAGTACGTCCAGTAGGAGTTATCCCTAGTTATACCGACCCCCGCCAAATCGGCCATACGTGGCCACATTTGCATCTGTGATTCGCTCTCCATTGCGACGATAAGTCCTCTGCCGACCACCATGGATTGACAAATTGAATCTGAATCTGCTTTCATCTGAGAATAGCACACGAGACCAGTGGCGTTGATTCCAGCCGCCATGATGTCTACTCCATCTCAAACGCGCCTGCCTGTGACGTGGTGTTAGTGGTGTACGAACAGCAGATCGCCTACAGCGGAGTTCGGCTGCCCTTAAAAAGGCCGAACGAACGAAATAACCCCATTTTCTAAGTGAAAAGGAATAACGTGTGACCACATTTTGATATAGTACATGTATTAGCTAGGTCAAGTGTCACTTTGAATTCTATCTTAAAATTGTGAAGGCGTATTTGGGATTCGAACCCATAATCACCAGATTGTAGACATATCCAGATTAAAAATGGCTTTAAGATATCATAAAATGATAGAAGATATATTTAATTAGTTTCTGACACTCAAAGTAGATTACTGATATAAGTATATAATGTTAGGAGAAAAGAAAATAGTGCTTGATATCTCTAAATGTATTTTACATATCAATAAAACAATTACTACCATATTGTACATAATCATAAACGCATTTCAGATACTATTAGGTCGTTTAAGATATCTTCAATATCTTTAAATATGTCTTAATTGTCCGCTCAGAAAATCACTGGATATTAATACGATAAAGACACAAAACAACATTCGACGAAATGCAAATGCAATGAAATATGAATATATACCCCATACGTCTGTCCCAACAAATCCATACTGTTTGAGAGCAAACCCCCGAACAAGCACACACACAGAAACCTACTTTCACATTCGATTCTGCGAAATACCCGTTTCTCGTGATCTTGCAATTCATGTTGGCATAGCGCTGTGCCTCGATCTGAAGTAACCAATCACGCCTGTACCCGTTTCCAGCTATGTTATAGCTATATTACCCTAAACACAGCTTATTGACTGTAAGGAAGACTTCGAGAAAATGAAAGCAGCTCTACTCCTTGTCCTCTCGGCAGCACTGTGCAACACAGGTAGGTCAACATGACACAGAATATGCAGCTACAGAATGTGCAAACAGCGCAAGGAAAATGCACGTGGGGTTTGCGTAGTACTACAACATGTGATATTGCACGGGTTGTTTAATTGGAGAAGAACTAGTATGCAATTTTGAATCAAATGTAACTTCTAATACCTCAGCCAAAAGATCCAAAATGGCGGCGGGGCATCACATCGTCGTCTTCAACTGCTTCAGCTAATTAAATGGGCACTGATTCAGAGCGATTAATGTCAGCTGTCCTTGGACAAAGGTAGCATCGCTTCTTCGCAGCCGGTGGTCAATCAATAAACCCAACCATATAATCATCATCATCAAAATCATAATTGTCCAAATCCGAAGGGTCGGTGTCACTTTCAACAGTCACACGTAGAGCCTGAGCAGCTGTGTATCGCGCTTGATTTCTTGACATCTTGGTTTCAAACTACATGTATTTCAAAATATAAAATATAAAACCAATTAATTGTGAAATCAAAGCTGTTGTTGTCTATGAATGTACTGGTAGGATGCAATATGCTGGATGTAGATTAACTTCTTTTTTATATAATTTTTATTGTTAAAAAAAATTGTTTTACAGCTTTTCAAACAAATATCAACAATGGACATTTTGGTTACAATCGTACAAACACGATTTTTATAATTATATAAACAGTCTATGACATGAAGACCAACACTTATCAAAGGCGCTGATATATATATAGTAATGTCTAAGTTCATTCTGGAAAAGATGAAAAGGTGGCTCACTGTTTTTAAATCTGCTTCCTAAAATGAGGTTTTTGAAGATGATGATAATAATATTGAAAGGGTCATCGTTTTTGTCTGGAAACCAAGCAATACTTGTCTTTTTGTTAATTTAATATTGATTTCAGTTTTCCGATTTAGTAAGATTTTCAATTTTTTGCCAGATATGATTAAATTTGCTGCAAGACCAGAATATGTGAAAAGGTGTCTCATTTTCGTCTTGGCAAAAGCTGCATTTTGAATAATCTCGATATCCAATCTTAAATAACATTTTATTTGTCGGTAAGATGTGATGTAATATTCTATATTGTAACAGGTAATATTCTTTATTATAAAACTGTTGATCAAAGGCTATACCTTAACAAGGTTAATTACTTGGCACAAGATTACCACGCTCGGGTAAACACACACTGTCTACAAAACAGGTAATCACCCTATTTCTGTTTGTCTACACAGTGCAACAAATGAAACCGGGGTGACACCGTCCACATTGGCAGGATTTCTTCAATGTATTAACAATGGGACAATAAGAACATTGGTTGCCCATCAGATGCCGTTATTTGAAAATATCCCCGGTAGTTCTAGTCTGATTCTAATAGGTATACCAGCAATGAAGGCTTTTTCGGATTTTCTCATGCGTGGATGGTATGATGACTGATCCAATT